CAGAAGATGGCAGTTTGATGGATATATTCTGAAATAAGATGTCATTTTCATGGATGTATTCTAACAGAAGATGTCAGTGTGATGGATGTATTCTGACTGAAGATGACGTCACTTTTATAAATTTAATAGTTTAATAGTGAAGTGTGTTTTAGATAGAGTTTTAATTATTATTTTTTTTTTTTTAATTATTTAGTTTGAAAGCGTGTTATATTGGCGGAAAAAAATCTGGGGTGGGGGTTGGGTCTCACACTTTTGACAGAATGAGACAGGGGGGACGCAGGGGGGTAAACATTGTCCAAAATAGCATGACGTACTTTATGGACGGTCCATAACGAAGGTTTTTTTTCCCCCTTTTTTCATTAACGAATAGAAATATAACACGTGATCCATTATAAAAATAGTAATATATGCATTAAAATATCTTTAAATTTCATATCAGTTATTTTTATATAGGTGTCTAAAATGTTTAGATGAGAGATGTACAAACTACGGCCCGTGGGCCGGATCCAACCCACAGTTTATTTATTGGACGATCGGTGAGCTGACAACTTGACAAATAATATTCTGCACAATGTGCACGAGAATAAGTAACATGGAGCCAGTTTGTTTTTTTTTTTTTTTTTTTTTTTTTTTTTTTTTTTTTAAAGGTTTTAAAACATTTTTTTTTTTTAATTTTTTTTTTTTTTTTTTTTTTTTAAAATAAAAAAACACAAAATTCTGAAATATAACTCATAAAATTTTATTAACATCATTTAAATTGTATTAATATAATTGTTTTTGTCAAATCACATAATATATATATATATATATATATATATATATATATATATATATATATATATATATATACATATATTATATATATATATAACATTGAAATTAAACATTATCAACTGCAGCTGGTTTTAAAATTATATAAAAAGGTACATCATACTAACATATTAAAATCGTGAATTGAGACATTTGGGCAAAAAAATATGTGTACACTTATGCCAACGGTGCTAACGCTGTAAGGCGGGTTTCCCAACCTGGGGTGCAAGAGACCATTTAAGGGGGTTTGAGGGGCAAAGCTCCTACGAAACAAAGAAGACAGCATTTAAATTACGTATAATTTCAAAGATTTGTTCTTTAATATTTTCCTAATTCGCAAGCTTATTTTTTAATTTCTATAGCTCTTTTTATTTTAAATTCAAAATACAATTTTAAGGTCAACTGGTTTCAAATTTTAAAATAGCATCTATGTTGTTACTTTAGAGGGGATGCGCGGCTTGTCAAAGTATTCGTAAGGGTGCAGAGTATAGAAAAAGGTTGGGAAACTCTGCAGCTATGAATGTATGAGCACTGTCGGGAGTGGGGTGATTGCCAGGAGTGGGGTGGTTGTCACAAGTGAGGTGATGGTCAGGAGTGGTGGGCCTGTCAGGAGTCGTGTGATTGTCTGGAGCGGGGGATTGTCAAGATGGGTGAATGCCGGGAGTGGCAGATGTCAGGAATGGGGGGGGGGTGATTGACAAGAGTAGGGTGATCGTCAGGAGGGGGGGGTTTGTCAGGAGGGGAGTGATTGTCATGAGTGGGGGGATTGTCAGGAGTGGGGTGGAGTGGGGTGATTGTGAGGAGTTGGGTGATTGTCGGGAGTGGGGTGATTGTCAGGAGTGGAGTGATTGTCGGGGTCGGGGTGATTGTCGTGAGTGGGGTGATTGTCGGGGTCGGGATGATTGTCAAGAGTGGGGTGATTGTCAGGAGTGGGGTGATTGTCAGGAGTGAGGTGATTGTCGTAAGTGGGGTGATTGTCGGGGTCGGGGTGATTGTCAGGAGTGCGGTGATTGTCAGGAGTGGGGTGATTGTCAGGAGTGGGGTGATTGTCAGGAGTGGGGTGATTGTCGGGAGTGGGGTGATTGTCAGGAGTGGGGTGATTGTCAGGAGTGGGGTGATTGTCAGGAGTGGGGTGATTGTCGGGAGTGGGGTGATTGTCGAGAGTGGGGTGATTGTCGGGAGTGGGGTGATTGTCAGGAGTTGGGTGAGTTCACCTTTAAAGACAAAGCTCCCCTTCAACGGTTTGGTGCATGCGCCAGTGGTGTGCTAGGAACGTCATGTTCAGACGGGCTTCAAGTTCCCATGAGTGGCCACTAGAGGTGTTGCTTGAAATCAAGTGTGAGGTTTGTGATCGTCAGTCAGGGGCTGAGTGGCCACTAGAGGTCAGGCTTGAAATCAAGTGTGAGGTTTGTGATCGTCAGTCAGGGGCTGAGTGGCCACTAGAGGTCAGGCTTGAAATCAAGTGTGAGGTTTGTGATCGTCAGTCAGGGGCTGAGTGGCCACTAGAGGTCATGCTTGAAATCAAGTGTGAGGTTTGTGATCGTCAGTCAGGGGCTGAGTGGCCACTAGAGGTCATGCTTGAAATCAAGTGTGAGGTTTGTGATCGTCAGTCAGGGGCTTGACATTTACTGAACACATTTTGTAGCAATCACATCTGTAGCGATCATAAACAAACATTTCGTACTTTTGTAGAACACAATAACATCATTTGTGTATCACACATTCGTATCCCTTTTGTATCACACATTAGTATTACATTTGTATCACACATTTGCATGGGCGTCCGCAGACGTTTCTGTTAAAAAAAAGGAGAGGGGGGGGGGGGCAATTTTCAAAGAATCTACACAATAAAAACATAGGTATACAACACATAAAACATTAGAAAATAATGTTGTAAAACATATACAACAACCAATATTGGATGCAAATAAATATATCTCATACGTATCTTTTAAACATACTTTTGTTTTTATTTCTATACTTATCTGCGATAAGGGAGGAGTTGTTCCCCTTTGAATGGGGTTTCAAACGATTCAATATTTGAGCGCCCGCAATTGACTTTTGTACCACACATCGGTGTGACTATTGTACCACACATCGGTGTGACTATTGTACCACACATCGGTGTGACTTTTGTACCACACATCGGTGTGACTATTGTACCACACATCGGTGTGACTATTGTACCACACATCGGTGTGACTATTGTACAACACATCGGTGTGACTTTTGTACCACACATCGGTGTGACTATTGTACCACACATCGGTGTGACTATTGTACCACACATCGGTGTGACTATTGTACCACACATCGGTGTGACTGTTGTACCACACATCGGTGTGACTATTGTACCACACATCGGTGTGACTATTGTACCACACATCGGTCTGACTTTTGTACCACACATCGGTGTGACTATTGTACCACACATCGGTGTGACTATTGTACCACACATCGGTGTGACTATTGTACCACACATCGGTGTGACTATTGTACCACACATCGGTCTGACTTTTGTACCACACATCGGTGTGACTATTGTACCACACATCGGTGTGACTATTGTACCACACATCGGTGTGACTATTGTACCACACATCGGTGTGACTATTGTACCACACATCGGTCTGACTTTTGTACCACACATCGGTGTGACTATAGTACCACACATCGGTGTGACTATTGTACCACACATCGGTGTGACTTTTTTACCACACGTCGGCTGACTTTTGTACCACACATCAGCTGACTTTTGTACCACACATCAGCTGACTTTTGTACCACACATCGGTCTGACTTTTGTACCACACATCAGCTGAATTTGTACCACACATCAGCTGACTTTTGTACCACACATCGGTCTGACTTTTGTACCACACATCGGCTGACTTTTGTACCACACATCGGTGTGACTTTTGTACAACTCAAAGACATGACTTTTGTACCACATAAATATACATTATTATCTCCCAATAACATGAATTCAAAACCAAATGTTGGCAAGGCGGTTTGTAGCACACGTTGACATGACTATTGTACCACATGTTGGCATAAATGCTGTACCACATGTTACATGTGCGTACATTATTACATCATACAACAGTCTCATTGAATGCAAACACCTACACATAAAAGTTCAGTGGGTAAATAGCGCCCTAAATGACAAAACATTTCCATCAAGTTCTAAATAAACAAATAACAAAGTGTAAACACATCAAGTGGCACATCAAACTCATATCCGGAAAATAGAGTGTGTGTGGGTTTTTTTAATCTATGACGAGACACAATGTGATATATAAATAATACTCAGGAATTTACGTGGAAAAAAGTGTATCAATTTTTCTCAGAAATGAACGCTTTCACTTTGGTAAATTAGTTGCAGAGTCATGGTGGTATAAATCTGTGATTACCTGAAGATAACTCAGACACACTTCATGTGATGGGCAGATGCACTTCGTGTTACGGGCAGATACAATTCATGTAATGGGCAGATGCATTTCATGTAATGGACAGATACATTTCATGTAACGAACAGATACACTTCATATAACAACGGGCAGATGCATTTCATGTAATGGACAGATACACCTTATGTAACGGGCAGATCTAGGTTTATTTAAAGAGGGAGAGACGGTTTCACAAATGAAATAACCTTTCACGAGGCTATGCATAGGTGTTTCGAAAATGTTAGTCTTAAAGTCAATCCATTTCAAACCACCATCAATGTAAGTGTGTAATCTAATGGTCTTGTATACAACTATTTTGGCCCCTAAGTCTTTCAGACGCAGTCTATGATAAGGAAACTCCCCACCCGAGAATAACGCCAATGGGTAACCGTATTTGATGTTCAGCAATTTGTGTGGTGGCAGCAGTCATGAGCCGCTTCTGTCCATCGTTTGCTCCGTACAGTGAGTAGTGTCCTTGTGATATTCATATTAAAAAAAACACATTAATTTGTTGAAATTGTAATAGTCAATTGTTAGTTTATTCACTTTGGGCCAGAACCCCGGCGTCGACCAAGTCCCCCCCCCCCCTCAAAAACAAATTCCACACCGAGTCCTTGGAATGATCACGTAAAAAAAACCAATTAATTTGTTGAAATTGTAATAGTCAATTGTTAGTTTATTCACTTTGGGCCAGAACCCCGGCGTCGACCAAGTCCCCCCCCCCCCTCAAAAACAAATTCCACACCGAGTCCTTGGAATGATCACGGCATCCAATTTCTTCATTTCCTGTCTACGCTTAATTCTTTGTCCTGTGTCCTAACTCCAGCATTCGGAACACATGTACAAAGTGCCATCATCTTATTATAAATGAGCGCGGCATGTTCTTTCAACAGTCGTGTTTCAAAATTATAAAGCCATTCTGGTGATAGACTTATTTGTCCAGATGGTTTAACCTGGAGGAAACGCATCGGATTCTAATCTCATTCTGGGGCGAGCAATACTAGTAGTCCATGAATTATAGAACAGTCCATGATGACTAATAGTGTCCGTTTATGCAGTCTACCTGGAGCAGTTTTATGACGTATCATTATCTTGAGAAACGGAAACTCCGAAATCATTGGTGGAAGCCTTCAGGAGAGATTTTGGTGATTTGAGTATCCGCAGGCAGCGAGCCCTGAAGGTTTTGTTGTAGAAACTGTAGATGATGGGGTTGATGGCGTTGTTGATGAAGAACGACCTCATCAGCAGGTGGTGGGTGATGTAGTAACCACTGCGCGGGCACAGCAGACGTTCGACCAGCCACGGCGGGGACAGCACGCCGAACACCTGAAGGACCAGGTGGGGGAGATAACTGAGGACGAAGCCGAGCGTCACGAGGAACATCATGAAACTGACGCGTGATGTTTTGATATCGCGAACACACGATTTCTTCCTAGATTTGCTGGTTGCGGTCGTTGCCACGCTCTGAGAGCGGAAACCGTTGGGCGTTTGTCTGTTGGCAGATACCTGACTGGTTTTACTGGTCCTGCTCAGAGTTAAACTGTTGTCATGGATGGAGTCCCACGTCACGTTGGCGTGCGGGTTTTTGCTGACTGATTGGGAAACCAACGAAGATGTTCTTTGTTTGGCAGAATTAATGTGATTTTTTGCTTCATATGGTGTTCCTTCTTTGAGCCTCGTCTCAGCTTCGGGGATTTGGATTTCAGAGAAATCTTCGAAACCCGACTCGTCGCTTTTTCTCCCATGTAAATTCAGCAAACAAGGCAATGATGACGCTCTTCTTATAATAGGTACCATATGGGTCTCCGGACAGTCCAGGAGAGGGAAACTGTTGGACGTCCAGTCTCTGTCCATCATGGTACTTACCACCCTGGTCTGACAAGCCACGCCCATAGAGTCCCACGGCCGATACCGGCCGAAGAAATGACCACGTTTTCGGGCTCTTGTTGGTATGACGTCAGGCTGTGATGTCACACTCTCTTCCCGGCAGTAACTTCCGGACCTGAGAGTGAAGCCTGTATCCATGGACGCTGCCAGGTAGTTGTTAAGACTTGACTTGGTCACGTTTGTTGATACTTTGTTGCTTCCTGTTAAAGAAACATCATCGCCAAACGAGGTCCCGTTGTCATCGCTGGCCGCATCGTCCCCATCTTCATCTTCCTGAAACAACGGATTTGCGTCCCTTGAAAATAGTCTCTTGACAGACCGGCTTGTTTCGGAGCTTCTTTTCACCGATCCACTGGCGTTCGATGATCTTGTTATAGACCTACTCGTCTCCGAAGACCTTTTCTTAGATCTCCTCCTCTCCGAAGAACTATTCACAGATCTCCTGCTCTCCGCCGTGCTCCTGAAAATCTTCTCATCCTGCTCCCTCACAGCGTCCACCAGCCGAGACATCGCTTCTTTACCAGGGACCTCGTCACCGTCGTTGGGGCTGTTCACGGCATAAATGGCAGCGTCTCCGCTTCTTGAACACGTCAGCACGTGATCGTCTGACACGGCAATGATCTCCGTGCGCAGCGGCGCGCCGCGTAGGCCCTCGTTGTTGCTGGTGTCGGTGATGGAGATCTTGATTTTGTTTAAGACAGACTGACTGCCGTACGAGTTCGATGCCAGCTGCTGGCGCCGCTGTTTTTGTTTCCGGATGTTGTAGACGATGAAGCTGTACATGATGACCAGAATCATGATGCAAACTACCCACGTGACACCCAGAATGATTTGGTACCAGAAGGCCATTCTTGAGTTTCTGTAAGCATCATCGATGGAGCATTCGTACACTGTGTGGTTGAACCTGCCGAGGATGGAATAACGTAGTCATGAAACAATTTTACGGTTGATGGGGCGATCTAACATGAGAATAAGCTTAACAACTAATATTCACTATGGAGCAGTATGCATGTAAAGGAAAGGGGAGATAACATTAACTCCGACCACTATTTATAGGTTACTGTTTATATAAATTGTGAATATACTGACATAAATTGTTAATTGATCTAGATATGAAGTTAGACTGCAAACATATAATTTTTGCACTTTCCAAACTCTTTCCTGCGTATGCAACTTCGTTGGTAAATCATGTCTATGCGTTCGACAGGTTAGGTTTTCATGACATCGATACAGTTTGATGTCACGTGCGAACGGTTGAGAGTCAGAGAAGTAAATTAGACACGACGCGACAGCCCTGATGTGTATTTAAAGGTTAGGTAAAGTAATCTGCATAAGGTACGTATCGGCAAAAAGCAATCTTCGGCCATAAAAAGACAAATGAAACAATTATTTTACAATTAAAATACCAAATCTCTAGCTGTGGAGACTCCTATAAAAGTATAGGTTTTTACCCTGTATGTAGACGACGTGTTAACGTCACTTTCCCCGTGCCGTGAACTCTGCCTGACCCCAAATTAGGCTGCGTTTGTACTGGGCGTGGCTTACTCCCTTTGATCTTGTTTACCACAAATTAAGCTATCGCCTGTTTTGTTTGAGTCGAAGGCCTTAGAAAATTATAGCAAATTGTGGAATGTTCTAGTTACTAGTACAATCCTGAATACGCCCCGGATGTTCGGTAGAGCCAACGATAAACGCAAAGAAAGCAAGATTGAAATGAAGAGAGATATTATTGACTTCACATGACAACAGTGTGTTATTCTGTGTGAGTGAATTCGTATTTATCATTGTACCTTATTTTTTGGCACATTATATTGTTATGTAGCATATATTTCCCCGTGCTTGAATTTTGCTTGACCCAAATTAGATCCCTAGCAGACGTTAGCGTTTGTTGTGGGCGTGGCCTCTTCGTTTGATGTATCTTGTTTACAACCGTGTTTACCAATTAAACATGTTAGACTGTCTCCTAGTATTTTGTAGAATGATCTCAATTTTTTCTAGAAAAGTAAAGGCGTTTGCTAGACGCGTCGGTAGACCCACATATATAAAGGATTGACAGGCACAGAGAGAGAGAGAGAGAGATTCAGCGGAGATTCAGATAGGTTTTATTAACTTTACGAGACGTGTGTTATTCTTTGTGTATTTGTGTGCTTATGTGTTTATTCGCATTCTTCATTCATTGGCACAGTGTACTAATTGTGTACCGGTACCAGTTCTACCATACTCTGTAAGTTGATGATTTGTAATTATATTTCTTTTGTTTATAATTGTATTATTACTGAATTAAATCTTATTAATTGTAATTGTTAATGTTTTGAGTGTCATACTAGTGTTATTCTATTTCTATATGATATCGTCCTTTGTTAGGCACTGTTTGAACGAGCCATAAATTTAAAATAGGAGATTAATTTCTCCCAATACAAGTCAGTGCGTAACAACCCTATTTTGTGATATTTATTTTCTATGTGTTAAAATAATGGCGCAACTGATTTACTGTACCTGGTGTCTGTGCGTCTGCCGTACAGAACGAGTGCTGGTGTGGAGAAGGCCAAGGACAGCAGCAGCATACCCCCAATGATGAATTTACTCTGCCTCACCGTCATTTGCTTCTGAAAAGGGCGACAGATGCGACGAAATCTGTCCAGAGACACTACGACCAGCACAGTGACGGAGCCGCACGAGCTCAGAGTGACCAGGAACCGGAAAATCTGAGTGTGAGGAAGATATTAGGAAATTGGTCATGTGGTAATGTGGTAAAGAGGTATATGTCAAATGAAGTAACGGTTTAAAATTACTGTAGTAATAAGTGATTGTCGAGTATGAGCGTTCATTAGGAATTGTTGCGACTCAATATTATGTTCATTAGTTGTTGAACGCTTTTCATGTCAACTCCTACACGTCTTCTTGGATTGATTACATTCGTCAGTTCTTTCATACGTTGAAGCGTCGTACTATTCTCACTATCAATTAACAAACTCAACTCCGTTTCATAATAACTATAACTTTAATATCTAAGTAAATATAATAAACATCCTATCACTCCAAGGTTTCACTCAAGACTGCCGCACGGCTAAAACATACGTCACAACACGGCATAGACAATACGTCACGACTCAGCATAAAAATACGTCATAAAGACAATGGCGGGAAGAGCGTTCACTAACTATAATAGTCAAGCGCGGGAAAAGCGTTCAACAACTAATGAACATAATATTGAGTCGCAACAATTCCTAATGAACGCTCATACTCGACAGTGATAAAACAATCAAGTAATTAAGATGCTGGAATAGCAATGCGCTTCTTTTCGAATCAGGCTGCGCAACCAGAGCTGTTTTCTGGATCCACGTCTGACATCGTCCATGTAGTAAAGATTGCTCTTAGTCAAAGTGCGGCTCAGTGGTTTCCCTTCTATGTCAAAGATAAGAGTGTAAGCGTCACGCAAACTTGTCTAGACAACGACTGTGAGTAAGTGATGGCCTACGTGGTGAGTGGTACACATCTCAATGCGCTTTCAGTGGTTCTCAACAGTTTACAAATCGAGGACCCTATCTCGCGCCACGAGAGCTGCACAGTAGCGTACAATCTGTCCCGACCCCCCGTGCGTTGAGACTCGAACGGCTCTTAGGTGCAATACAAACGACTCAGATAAAATCTTCTTCAGCCGACTCAACGAACAAACGGTTTTACGGTTTCATAATCAGAGTTGTAGTAACGCGCCTACATAGAAGCAAGTAACATTAGTTAAATCCCTTTTCTAATCACGTTAATCTAGAGTGCTCCTATTAAAAATAATATTTCCCACGCATTTCTGCCATATTTCCCAAGCATTTCTGCCATATTTCCCAAGCATTTCTGCCATATTTCCCAAGCATTTCTGCCATATTTCCCAAGCATTTCTGCCATATTTCCCAAGAATTTTTGCCATATTTCCCAAGCATTTCTGCCATATTTCCCAAGCATTTCTGCCATATTTCCCAAGCATTTTTGCCATATTTCCCAAGCATTTCTGTCATATTTCCCACGCATTTCTGCCATATTTCCCAAGCATTTCTGCCATATTTCCCACGCATTTCTGCCATATTTCCCAAGCATTTCTGCCATATTTCCCACGCATTTCTGCCATATTTCCCAAGCATTTCTGCCATATTTCCCCCGCATTTCTGCCATATTACCCACGCATTTCTGCCATATTTCCCCCGCATTTCTGCCATATTTCCCAAGCATTTTTGCCATATTTCCCAAGCATTTCTGCCATATTTCCCAAGCATTTTTGCCATATTTCCCAAGCATTTTTGCCATATTTCCCAAGCATTTCTGTCATATTTCCCAAGCATTCCTGCCATATTTTCCAAACATTTATGCCTAACAAGAACGGCATAAAACCTATTCAACATATGGGAGAGAAAAGTTCTCCGGAAATATATGACCAACTCACCTTTATGATGAAGTGAACCAACTCACCTATATGCTGAAGTGAACCAACTCACCTATATGATGAAGTGAACCAACTCACTTTGCAAGAAATGTGAGTATCGAGGTCTGTGAAGCGAACCAACTCACCTTGCAAGAAATGGAAATATATCCAGGGCTGTGAAGTGAACCAACTCACCTTGCAAGAAATGGAAATATATCCAGGTCTGTGAAGTGAACCAACTCACCTTGCAAGAAATGGGAATACCCAGGTCTGTGAACTGTGAAGTGAACCAACTAACCTTGCAAGAAATGGGATTACCCAGGTCTGTGAAGCGAAAAAACTCACCTTGCAAGGAATGGGAATATCCAGGTCTGTGAACTGTGAAGTGAACCAACTCACCTTGCAAGGAAAGGGAATATCCAGGTCTGTGAAGCGAAAAAACTCACCTTGCAAGAAATGGAAATATATCCAGGTCTGTGAAGTGAACCAACTCACCTTGCAAGAAATGGGAATACCCAGGTCTGTGAACTGTGAAGTGAACCAACTCACCTTGCAAGAAATGGGATTACCCAGGTCTGTGAAGCGAAAAAACTCACCTTGCAAGGAATGGGAATATCCAGTTCTGTGAACTGTGAAGTGAACCAACTCACCTTGCAAGGAATGGGAATATCCAGGTCTGTGAAGCGAAAAAACTCACCTTGCAAGGAATGGGAATATCCAGGTCTGTGAACTGTGAAGTGAACCAACTCACCTTGCAAGGAATGGGAATATCCAGGTCTGTGAAGCGAAAAAACTCACCTTGCAAGGAATGGGAATATCCAGGTCTGTGAACTGTGAAGTGAACCAACTCACCTTGCAAGGAATGGGAATATCCAGGTCTGTGAAGCGAAAAAACTCACCTTGCAAGGAATGGGAATATCCAGGTCTGTGAACTGTGAAGTGAACCAACTCACCTTGCAAGGAATGGGAATATCCAGGTCTGTGAAGCGAAAAAACTCACCTTGCAAGGAATGGGAATATCCAGGTCTGTGAAGCGAAAAAACTCACCTTGCAAGGAATGGGAATATCCAGGTCTATATCTCGCTTAAGGTCGACCATCTCAAACGGCATTCCCACGGCACAGTTCATGAAGTCGAACGCCGCCATCGCCATGATGAAACATTTCGTGGTGGAGGCCGGGAACCTCAGACCGTAGACGAGCAGAACTAGGACGTTGCCAGGGAGACCCACCAGCATGAGCCCGCTGAGCAGCAGGAACGTTGGGATCTTCTTGACCGCCTCCAATCGCTCCTCGTCCTCCATGAAGACCCAGAGTTCTTCGGTTGACATGTTGACCAGCTGCGGCCATTTCTCTTCATCGCAGGCCTCTCCTTCCATCGTTGAACAGTGGTGGAAAACGGTGTCAAATGAGACGCTCTGTCCCAACAATCAACGTTGGCAAATTGTTCGCTTGTTCACTTGTAATTGTTTTTATTTTTGTGTTTTCTTGTTTTGTTATTTGGGGTTGGGTTTTTTATTGGGGGCAAGGGTTTGGGGGGGGGGGGTCCCACAAAAATGTGGAGTTCACCCTGATGATTTACTTCCGGGCCGGGGATGGGTCACTTGTAAAGATGTCAAGTGACGTCAGGGTTATGTCAACAGAGATTACCGCAGCAGATTATACGACCAGCAGCCGTCTTGTGTTTATGGTCTGTGCAGCTGGGCGAATAGTTGTCGCCTCTTGGAGACATTCATTAAATATTCTACGGTTTGATGTCCTTTTTTATTTGGGCCTGGGAAAGAAAAAGAAACTATTGTAATAATGAGGTTTACTACCTGAAAATAGTCAAGCTGTTGATTTATTTGATTTATTTTAAAAAAAGAAGGATTTGCTGGCTGCTCTATGTAATACACTAACTTCTGTTTTTGCTTTGTGAAAATAATACGACCGTTAATATTTATTAGTTTTGTATAAACTAGTATCAATAAAAAAAAAAAAAGATTTATTGAAATAAATATGGCGGTGTTTATATTTTGTTGGTAGTGTTTGTGTTCTGAGGTGGAGGGGGTGGGGGGGTTTGGGGGGACGGGGGTGGGGGATATTGTGTGGGACTTTTTGTATTGTTGATGTTGTTTTAGTGTTGTGTTTTGATGTTGGTGTTGGTTGTGGGGTGTGGGTGTTGTTGGTGTTAGTGCTTTTGTTGGTGTTAATATCGTTGGTATTGTTGGTGGTGGTGTTGGAGGTGTTGGTGTTGGTGGTGTTGGTGACGGCGTTGGTGTTGTTTGTGTTGATATTGTTGTGTTGGTGTTGGTGGTGGTCTTGATGTTGTTGTGTTGATGTTGGTGTTGTTGGTGTTGTGTTGGTGTTGTTGATGTTGTTGTGTTGGTGCTGTTGGTGTTGTGTTGATGTTGTTGGTGTTGATGTTGGTGTTAATGTTGGTGTTGTTGGTGTTTTGTTGGTGTTGTTGGTGGTGGTGGTGGTATTGTTGTTGGTGTTGTGTTGGTGTTGTTGTTGTGTTGGTGTATTTGATGTTGGTGTTAGTATTGTTGTTGGTGTTGTTGTGTTGGTGTTTTTAATGTAAATTACAAAGTAAAGAGAATACATATATGAAATATATGAAGTAAAATGAAAATGCCAGCCTCTTCTCCCATTCCAAAAAACATAACACACGGGGCGGACAGCCCTCTCCGTGCCCCCCCCCCCCACTTACGCCTGAGGAGCGATTGGTCTTTTAAAAAAAAAATACTATGCACTAAGCGCACTTGCAATATTTCTTTTAAAGAATCTCATTTAGCGCAGTTGTCGGGAATTGTATTTCGTGAAATCGTTGGCATCATATTTCCTTCCTCTTCCCCTTGTAAAAAAGGAAACGAATCGATACATTTTCTGAGTAGGAAGGCATGGGAGTGGGCGAATAATAGGGGGGTGCGAATGAAAGGAAGGGGCGAATTAAAGAAAGGGGTTAAATTAAAGGTAAGGGCGAATTAAAGGAAGGTCAAATCTTCAAACATTTAGTAAAGATTTTTTTGTGTGTGCATGTCTGACACATTTTTCTTGTACCGGTGCTTGTGTCAGTCAGGTCTTGGGTTCCTTCACGGACTTGAGGTTGGAAACTTTAAAAATTTCTTGAAGATCTCCACGTAATCCAAGTGGGGGTGGTACTCCTTAGAATAAGTTGCAGCACGACTAATTCATAAGTTCATGTCTTTAAAAAAAACAATTTTCTTCAAACAACATTTTGATCATTTCCAAAAAAATAATTTGGGTGTAAATACCACTTCCCGTTGATGATGGCAACAAATAGGACAACTGGCCAGCGGCGTAAATTTGGTGCTACGTTGTACCATGCACATAACTCATCGTGTTGTTATGTAGTACACTTTTTCCCGTGCGTGAACTTTCTTTGACCCGCATTAGACTCCTAGCAGACAGTAACGTTTGTTGTGGGCGTGGTTTCCAATTAAACATGGTTAGTATGTCTACTCATATCTTGTCAAAGGTTCTCGATTGTATTAGAAAAGTAAGGGCGTTTCTAGACGCGTCGGTAGACCCACATATATAAGGGATTGACAGGCACAGAGGGAGACGGAGATTCAGATAGATATTATTAACTTTACGAGACAATTGTATTATTCTTTGTGTGCTCATATGTGTTTATTCGCATTGATCATTCATCATTATTAATTGCCACATTGTACTAACAACTGTGTACCAGTTCAAGATTTTCACATACTCTGTAAGTTGATGATTTTCAATTATATTTCTTTTGTTTTGTAATTGTATTATTACTAAATTAAATCTTATTAATTGTAATTGGCAACTGTTTTTGCGTGTCGTATCTTTACAATTGTATTTCTCTATGGTATCGTCCTTTGTTGTGCACTGTGTGAACGAGCCATAACTTAAAACAAGAGATTAATTTCTCATAATAGACGCCAGTGCGTAGCAGTGTCGTCTACGCGCCATTTGGTGCCACTATAGAATGTTTTAACAGATGGTTTCTGTCTATCTCGAGTATGAGGATCTATTTATTTATCATCATGTAAACTAGATGTCAACACAACATATTCTCCTTATTGTAGGAACATAAGATGCTAACATAAGATTCTGTCGTTATCCAAAAATGGTACTGCTGACAGCTCTTCCTGCACTTGTGATGAAAACTCTTTAGGAATCTGGTGCTTATTTTTTTTTCTAATTGTTCCAACTAAGCTCAATTTTTTTTTTCTTTTCAGTTCTTCGATCAATTCAGTGCTATTGAACCAAGTGTCGGCCGTGATAATTTGACCTGATCCAAAAATAGATTTCCGGAGTCTAAGCACAATATCTGTTGGTTTTTTTGCTGATCCGAAAAATTCCTTCTGGCTGCAATCCCGCGAAAATTTCTAAGTTGTATAGGTGAATACCTGAAGGTCAACAAGGGCGTACGTTTTAATCCCACCTTTAGTCGGTTTGCTTGGAATAAACTGCCTAAGGTTGCACTTGCCTCGAATTACCTCAATGTTTTCATCAACACAAATAATTTCGCCCCAAGAATAGCACTTTTACAGTTGTCCACAAATTGTTCAAAAACTTCACAAATAAATAGAAGTAAGCTTGTCCATTTTTCTTCTTTGCTCACGAGTTTTTCGGTCATCGAATCGAGGGCAACGTACATTAAATTTGAAACGTTTAATACTCATATTTAGTCGAAATTTTTCAACTCCATCCCCATCTGACCCCCCAAGTTCAACGCCATCCCCATCTGACCCCCCAAGTTCAACGCCATCCCCATCTGACCCCCCAAGTTCAACTCCATCCCCATCTGACCAACTCCATCCCCATCTGACCCCCATCTGACCCCCCCCCCCAATTCTTTTGCTGCCCTCTCGGATACCACTTCTCAGCTAAGTGCTATTTTTTTTTTTTATTCTGTTGCATCTGTTGTTTGTTCGCTGACGAAGGCCTCCTGCCGACACGTTCGATGTTTGTTGCGTTACTTTTTTTCAGGTTTTCCCTTACTTTCTTCTTCTCATATCCTATGACCCCCCCCCCCTCAGATCATCCATACTTTGTCTATTGCCCCGATACGCACCTGTTAGAATCAAGAGACCTATGAATGCTTTCAATTCAATCATATCCAGTGGTCTCAAATCTCTTGCTCGCTGAAATTGTGTTTGCATGACCTTGGCATATTGGTTTGTATAGTTCTAAATGATATTTAGTATTTCATCACTGAAAAGGCGACTCCAGTTCTCAAGAGGGGTTCATGCCATTTTGACAGGTCCCATAACTCCTGGAAGTTTCCGAATTAAATTGAACGCACTCGGCTTGAAGGTGGATCCCTTGTTCCATTTCGTTTCTTTGTTTTTTTCCAAATTAAAAAAAAAAAAGTATCACTGTCAGTATTACCTTCTATATCATCATTATCATCCTCGTCTTCTTCCGACTGTGAATCTTCTTGACGAATTTCAAGTGCATCTTCGCTTTCTGTGTCAACCTCATCTTCAAATTCTTCTTCTACCTCTTATATCTTCCAAAAAGCATTCTTTGAATTTCTTCTAAATTTTGGGGGAATTGTAAGTTTCAACATTCCTTACCCCCTTCTATGTTAGGGGGTAGAAGTAACCTTGAAATACTCTACGGGTCAGTATGATTATCACCTTTTGGGCGCAGTGTATCAATTTGATATTTGCGTTTAACACACACTGGCACTCATTAAAAATAAGAAAATGCATAAGTGTATAGACAAATATGATCAAGTAACTTACCAGGACAATGAAATAATACGATTGTCAAGCTTCAAAGATGTAACGCGATGCAAAAACAGTTGGCTTGTATCAATCTGAACAGCTGCGCCAGGCGGAAGGTTAATAAGCACTTAGTAGGAGATCAGATCAGGGTTGACCCCGGGGGGGGGGGTCTCTTCAATGTTTACTTATTGAGACGGTTAATTAAAACTGTCTAGAAATATATGACTCAACGCATGACACCTACAGTCACGTGATATGGGTCACGAAGTATGATTGAATTATTTAGAAGGTACTTTTTTTTTTTTTTTTAAGTGCAAGCAGGGGAGTTAATTGAACCATCAAACGTTTTGTGAACGTAGACTTGACCGAGTTAATGATGGTGAACGTATCCATGCCAAAAAAAAAAAAAAAGTTTATATATAATAGCAATTTCCCTGGGAAATACGGTACCAGTGGAACTATAGGTGGGGAAGTACGGTAAAAGTGGAACTATTGTCTGTGAATTACGGTACAAGTGGAACTATAGCCTGTGAAGTACGGTACCAGTGGAACTAGTGCCTGTGAAGGATGGTACCAGGTGAACTATAGCCTGTGAAGTGCGATACCAGCGGAACTGTAGCCTGTGAAATACGGTACCAGTGGATCTATAGCCGGTGAAGTACGGTCCCAGTGG